TGTTTACCCTCGGTGCTACTTCCACGTTTACCCTCGGTGCTACTTCCCTGTTTACCCTTAGTGCTACTTCCGTGTTTACCCTCGGTGCTGCTTCCACGTTTACCCTCGGTGCTACTCCTGATGTTTACCCTCGGTGCTACTTCCGGGCAACTACAGGCCACTCAATCTCACCTCCATCCCCGGAAAAGTGATGGAACAGCTCATCCTGGCTGCTGTCTCCAGACACGCGGAGGAGAAGAAGGTCCTCAGGAGTAGCCAGCATGGATTCACCAAGGGGAAATCATGTTTGACTAACCTGATCGCCTTCTATGATGGAGTGACTTGTTGGGTAGATGAGGGCAGAGCAGTGGATGTCGCCTATCTGGACTTGAGCAAAGCTTTTGACACTGTTCCTCACAACAGTCTCATGAGCAAGGTTCAGAAGTGTGGGATAGATGAGTGGATGGGAAGGTGGGTTAGGAATTAGGCATTGGCTCGATGGCAGGGCGCAGATAGTGGTAGTCAGTGCTGCGGAGTCCAGCTGGAGGCCTGTAGTTGGCGGTGTCCCCCAGGAATCGATCCTTGGTCCAGTCCTGTTTCAACTTATTCATTAACGACCTGGATGAAGGGCTGGAGTGCTCCCTCAGCAAGTTTGCTGATGATACCAAACTGGGAGGAGTAGCTGATAGCCCTGAGGGCTGTGCTGCCATCCAGAGGGACCTGGACAGACTGGACAACTGGGCGGCGAGAAACCTCATGAGGTTCAACAGGGGCAAGTGCAGGGTCCTGCACTTGGGGAGGAAGAACCCTGGACACCAGTACAGATTAGGGGTGGACCTGCTGGAGAGCAGCCCCGCAGAGAGGGACCTGGGTGTCATGGTGGATGACAAGTTGACCATGAGGCAGCAGTGTGCCCTGGTGGCCGAGAAGGCCAACGGGATCCTGGGGTGCATTAAGAAGAGCGTCTCCAGCAGGTCGAGGGAAGTGATCATCCCCCTCTACTCAGCCCTGGGGAGGCCACATCTGGAGACTGTGTCCAGTTCTGGGCTCCCCAGTACAAGAGGGATGTGGAGCTGCTGGAGAGAGTCCAGCGCAGGGCTACGAGGATGATCAGGGGCCTGGAACATCTGCCCTATGAGCAAAGGCTGAGGGAGCTGGGTCTGTTCAGCCTGGAGAAGAGGAGGCTGAGGGGGGACCTGATCAGCGTGTATAAATACCTCAAGGGAGGCAGTGAGGAGGAGGGGGCGGCCTCTTTTCAGTGGTGGCCAGAGATAGGACTAGAGGAAACAGCCACAAGCTGAAGCATCAGAAGTTCTGCAGGTGCTTAAGAAAACATTTATTAACAGTGAGGGTGCAAGAGCCCTGGCACAGGCTGCCCAGTTGTGGAGTCTCCTTCTTTGGAGATCTTTAAAACCCGCTTGGATGCAGCCCTGTGCCATGTGCTCTGGGTGACCCTGCGTGAGCAGGGGGGTTGGACTAGATGACCTCTGAGGTCCCTTCCAACCTTAAGCATTCTATGATTCTATGAAAAGAAGACCAAATGATTAATTTTATTTTAGTATAAATAGCTAGTGCTAAGTATTGCTTAGTTGTGGCAGTGGCAATAGCTGCTTTTTTGCTTCTGCTGACGTAAGAGAAGACAGATTAGGAAAAAGTATCCAGGTTCATCCTTTTTCACCTTCAGTAGCATCATTGCTGTTGACTCATGCATTCCTATTTATTAATAGGCCGAAATTCTGACCCATGCTTTATTTAAGAATTGCTACTATTCATTATTTTCTGGTCTGAACATCTTTCAGACAAAGAAAAAAAAGACTCATTGACCATTTTGCTCTTGCAATTCTTTTATTTTAGAGGATAAACATAACTTATTTTTCTTAATAACTGTTGCACTAACTTAAACGCCCTTAATATCACTTTATTTGGATAGGCTGCTTGTACACATGGGTGTCTGGAAATGTAAGAGGGCTTGGAGATACTTGCTCTGGTAATTGGCTTGTTGCCACATACTATCAAACAAATTGCCAGATATTGATTCCATTTCAGCTCTCCTGCAAAATGAGTTCTGGAAGAAGTACAGATAACATCAGTGTTTCAGTTTTCTGCAAATAAAGATAAAAGTTTCTTTTTTTTTTCCCATTGAAATCTCTAAAAAATGTATCTAGCAGGAGTTTAGTTGTACATGCTACCGTAGTATCATTGATGCGATGCTGGGCTAGACAAGCACAGCTACTGCCTGCACTACAGATTAATATCTTTCATTAGACTCTTTAAAGCATAGCCAACAAAGGAATAAATGTCTTACAAATCGTTTTTTATTACCCCACAGTTTATACAATGAGATCCACATCAGTTAAAAGCATTAGTTGTTGCATTCCTGCATACCAAATCGTAAGCATTTCTCAGGGCCATCCTCAGAACGGCTGCTTCTAGAGAAAACCATCTAATCCACTGACAGCCAGCATAAAATTCTGCCATTCTCAGGGAATTACTGTATTTCTTGGTTGCTGTGGGCAATGCCTTGATGAAATAGCTACTCAGCACTGCCACTTTCCAAACCATGTCTTCACACAGGTTAAGCTATTAAATCTAAAGGAACAATTTTACTCTGGTGATGTCATTTGCAGTAACCTTATTCACTTGAATTTGATCTGGTTGGGAATAAAAGAAGAGTTCAAATAGATCATAGTTACTGTCTGCTTGACTCCTTTAGGAAACACACACCCACATTATCGTTCTTGCCATTTGAGAGTTCGTGCTCCTTCCAGACTTGAGCACATGAGCTAAAGTTTTAATATTCAGCTTTGAATTTAACAGGCAAGAATGGCTAGAAAATAGCTAGGAGCCATATTCAGCTGAGCCTCTACATCTAGTCAGTGGGGCACTTTTAATAGAAGTTGGATTTCCTTTCAAAAGCCTCCAAAATACATCTATAAACCATTGATTTCAGCATTTATTCAGTATGGCATCTCAGCCCCTGACACAAGAGGGAGCCTAGGGAGCCAGTCCTTGCAAATACCCCCTTTTGCTTGCTAAGGGCTTAAAGCATTTACAAGGGCTACAAGCAGATTCACAAGCTTGGTTTGGGCTTGGTTTACAGGTGAGAGCAAGGTGCATTAGAAGAATGGTGAATCTGAATTGTCCACTTCCATGTCATTACGCTCTACTGAAAGCTGCTTTAAAAAAAAATAGTTGTCAAGATATTCCTAAACACGTAAGGAAAGGTAGCTGTATCGCTGTGAGACACATTAAAGAAAATGCAAATAAAATCTGAACTTGAGAATAAAATCAGCAAAATGAGAGTGTGTGAGATCTAACGGTCCTTACATCTGCTAGGTTGACCCACCCCTCATGTTCTACCTGTGTTTTGTGTTCTGTTGAAGCCACTGAGTAGAACAAGAGAGGGGCAGCTTTCATGGATGGCACCTACATTAACTCTTTTTTGCAGGCCTACGTGTAGAGGGCCTCTTCAGAAGGTCAGCCAGCGTCCAAACTATCAAAGATGTTCAGAAGCTCTATAACCAGGGTAAGCTGTCACCGGGCCATTGCCTCACATTGGTAACAGCCTGAGGGCTCTGTTGAGCTTTTTTCTACAGGGAAGCAGTAATGCCAGCTCTCCTCCAATTATTTAATCAAAAGCAATTTGTAGCTTAAAATGTCATATGATTAAAGCACTCCTATAGAAACCTGAAAGGTAACAACAAGCGTTTAAAGCTTACTGAATAGTGAGTCATCAGTTGATTTCAGACTAGAGCTTCCAAAATCTGTATTACCTAATGAATGAGGAAGTTTGAGTCAAAAACGGTCTGCTTTTTTCCTAAATACTTGCATTGCCCTTGTAATCTTTATGTTCCTGCAGTTAGTTAAAAATTACCAAGTACGATGTCTTCTTGTCATTTTGCCTCCAGCATTTTTCCGTGGTTATAAAAAAGAAATATAATTTTACCTAATAATTTATGAAATGTATGGAAGTCATTTTGAAAGTCAGTGACTTCCCTGTGAAGCCTTTGTATGAAATGCCTTAATGGAGAGAATCTCTTGCAGCCAAATTAATAAAACTATGAAAAATACAGAAAGAAAACGCTAAGAGTTAACAGCAATTCAGAAGCCAAGAGGTTTTCATTTCTGTAATGTAAAACAGTTTTTATACATGACTTTATTATTTAACACACTTTTTCTCTTTTTTTCTTTTCCCCTTCTAGGCAAGCCTGTGAATTTCGATGACTATGATGATATCCATATTCCTGCTGTTATCCTAAAGACTTTCCTTAGGGAACTCCCTGAGCCATTACTAACCTTTGAGTGTTATGATCATATCCTTGGAATCACCAGTGAGTATAAATCAGTATTAGGAGAGTTTGTAGAACAAGTTGAACTGGGCCTGGCTAATTCATAATTACTGCTGTTCGCTGGCCGTGACTGGCTGTACATCGGTAGTCCTTCGCTGCAGCTTTTAATGGGCACCCTCGTAATCTGTACCTCAGCAAGACTGAGAGTCCATCCAGTAGAGGACAGTGGTTCAGGTATCTTTTCAGGATTTTAAAATATGGAGATTCAAAGTTGTGCTGTTTTTTTGAACATCGTTAGCTGCTTCAGAAGTCTAGCATATATATACTGGACATAATACTGAGTATATAAGGGGTAAATTTTCCCGCCATCATCACTTTTTTTTTCTTTTTCTTTTTCTTGGTTTAGCCTTTATTCTGAGACTGCAAACACATTGTTCAGCTAGATGTTGGTGAAGGACTACAGATTGCATTGTAAAGGCAATAGATAATCTGTTTCTTCTCTTCCATTCATGTTGTATCCCCTGTATTTGCTTTGCCTGATAACAGTGTCCCCTCTAAGTGATTTCCACTGCTTGTGCATTCAGAGGGCTCTAAGAACAAGTAGTGCAGCAGAACTAGTGAAGTACAGTGCTTTGCATCTCAAACACAAGCTCCTTTTGGGCTCCTCCAATGTCAAATTTCACTTCCATCCCTGGAAAAGTGATGGAACAGCTCATCCTGGCTGTTGTCTCTAAGCATGTGGAGAACAAGAAGGTGCTCAGGAGTAGCCAGCATGGATTCACCAAGGGGAAATCAGGCCTGACTAACCTGATCGCCTTCTATGATGGAATGACTGGCTGGATAGGTGAGGGCGGAGCAGTGGATGTGGCCTATCTGGACTTCAGCAAGGCTTTTGACATCATCCCTCACAGCATCCTCCTGGGCAAGCTTCAGAGGTGTAGGATAGGTGAGTGGACAGTGAGGTGAACTGAAAACTGGCTCGATGGAAGAGCTCAGAGGTTTGTGATCAGCGGCACTGAGTCGAGTTGGAGGCCTGTAGTTAGTGGTGCCCCCCAGGGGGTCAGTCCTAGGTCCAGTCCTGTTCAACTTATTCATTAATGACCTGGATGAAGGGCTGGAGTGCTCCCTCAGCAAGTTTGCTGATGATACCAAACTGGGAGGAGTAGCTGATAGCCCTGAGGGCTGTGCTGCCATCCAGAGGGACCTGGACAGACTGGACGGTGAGAAATCTCATGAGGTTCAACAAGGGCAAGTGCAGGGTCCTGCACTTGGGGAGGAATAACCCCGGACACCAGTACAGATTAGGGGTGGACCTGCTGGAGAGCAGTCCCGCAGAGAGGGACCTGGGTGTCATGGTGGACGACAAGTTGACCATGAGGCAGCAGGGTGCCCTGGTGGCCAAGAAGGCCAACGGGATCCTGGGGTGCATTAAGAAGAGCGTCTCCAGCAGGTCGAGGGAGGGGATCGTCCCCCTCTACACAGCCCTGGTGAGGCCACATCTGGAGACTGTGTCCAGTTCTGAGCCCCCCAGGACAAGAGGGATGTGGAGCTGCTGGAGAGAGTCCAGCGCAGGGCTACGAGGATGATCAGGGGCCTGGAACATCTGCCCTATGAGCAAAGGCTGAGGGAGCTGGGCCTGTTCAGCCTGGAGAAGAGGAGGCTGAGGGGGGACCTGATCAGTGTCTATAGATACCTCAAGGGAGGCAGTGAGGAGGAGGGGGGCGGCCTCTTTTCAGTGGTGGCCAGAGATAGGACTAGAGGAAACGGCCACAAACTGAAGCGCTAAAAGTTCCACAGCAACTCAAGGAAGAACTTCTTCCCTGTGAGGGTGACAAAGCACTGGAACAGGCTGCCCAGAGAGGTTGTGGAGTCTCTTTCTCTGGAGATCTTGCAAACCCGCTTGGACACAGCCCTGTGCCCCATGCTCCAGGTGACCCTGCATGAGCAGGGGGTTGGACTAGATGATCTCTCGAGGTCCCTTCCAACTTGAAAGGATTTTATGATTCTAAGAAATCAGCCTTGAGGCTACACTGCGACATTTTCCTAGATGTCTTTACCCAACCACCTAATTTCACTAGGTGTGTAGCAATATAATAATTATATTTATCTACTCCTCTCTCAAATCTTGTCTAGCCATCCCTGTGCTTAAAAAGTAAATGGTGGGCAGCAAACAGCAAGTGACAGCACATTTAGAGGTCCAGCCTCTACTGACAAACAACCTCAATATCAGGCATTTGACTACCTTTCTCCTTTTTTTCTCAAGAGTCTTCCTCTCAACAGTCTGGGAAGAATGAAATCTTTCTTTTATATACACAAAAAGTTATTTCCCTTTGCAGGGAAGAATTTTAAGCTTTCTAGAAAACCAGATTTTTTAATAATTTATTTCTATTTTTTCCAACAGCAGGATTGGCACGCAGTAAAGTTAGCATTTTATGACTATCATTTATATGAATAGTAGTGCCATTTTGGATACTACTTTGTTTAGTAAGAGTTACAGAAGCAAAGCAGTAAGCGCACACACACAGAAATTCAAAGTTTGGTGTCTATAACCAATAGACTATAATATTGGTTATAGACACCACTATAAACTATAATAACAAACTTAATGCTTCATCCATTTGAGACCTTGTCCTCTCTTATCAAATTTACTTACCCAAAGAGTTCAAGTGTTACTGCAAGCAATTTAAGGTGCATGCATACACATATACCATGTATTCTTATACTTTTGGGGGGTTTATTTACTCACGTATTTTGAAATTGTTCCAGCACGGTTGTCTTTGAGTGTGGAAGGTGACACCTGCATTGGAAATGTGTGGAAAGTGCTCTGCTCAGCTATGGAATCTAGCAGGAAATTTGGACAGGACATACCAAGACAAACTCTGATTTTCCTGTAAAGAAAGACAGTGATTATTTAAAGACCTTCGAATCTACTAATCAATAAACTTCTATCATAAAGGCCTCGTCAGGCACTGAAAGTTTTAATGCTGGCTGGGCAACCCCATGTAGTTCAGAAGACCTGAGATTTACTACCTGGTATTTGCAGAGAGTAGTAATTTGTCCTCCAGGCTACAGCCAGATAATCAGGGAAATAGTGAATCTTGCAGTAAAAGCACATGTTCTTCCAACACCTGCTTTTTGATGAAAACATAGTGCAGTTCCCTACAGAATCCACTAGCAAGCTCTTGATAAACATGGGGTAATGCTGGGGCAAGGGGTAAGTTATCCATATCAAGCCTGTTGCAGCTGGGAAAGGTGACTAAGATAATTCAGGTTGCAGAGAAATCTCAATTGCTACATGTTAGAAAGTGCAGTAGAGACCTAATCCTGAGATTCCTGTGTAATCCTGATTTTCACACAATGGTATGACAAGTTTACTGCATCTAGATATAATATATTCTAGATAAAATCCCATACTGCACCCATCAATGTAGCACCTCCGGGTGCTTTTCCTATAATAAACATTATTCATGTATTGCCTTTTAAAAAATTAATCAAATCATCATATTAATCACATATAAATCTGTCAGCACAATAAACAACTTAGAGCATTGAGAGAAAAAAAAAGGTCTTTTCACAGACAGCTTGTAGAAATAGAAGGTGTAAGAATAGTCACTTCAGGAAGAATAAGGGAAATGTGGATAAAGGAACTATAAATGCTAATTTTTACTGAATTATCTTTTGCTAACTTTCTAGACATCATGTTGCTTTGTGCTAGGGCTAAGTGAAAAATGAGAATAAATATTAAAAGTCTGAAATCACATCATTGCCACTTCGTGCTGTCTTTGCAACAATGATTTTTTTTGCCTTGCATAAACTTATGTGAAACATTCACTCCATGTAATTCTTGTTCATCAGTACCTTAAACATTGACGAAACACATTGAAAAGTGGTGTGAAAGAGAAGTCCTCCCTGAGGTTTTTTGTTATGCAGTATAATGGCCACTGTCTTGTTTTTGGTGGTGACTTCCCGTTCCTAAAAGATTTTAAGCTTGAGAACCAAGCTGGATTGCAGCAAATGTGTGTTCCTTCCCTGGGAACAGAGCACAGAAGGGAATTTTGAAGAGGTGTGAGCACAGGCAGCTGTCTCGGGATGATTTAAAGTTCATGTCCTGTCTTCCGAATGCCAGCAGAGCGGGGTGCAACATGCACATTGTATCTCTTACACTGAGAACCTGGAGATGCCCTGGTCTTGCTTTACGATACTTCAGAATGACAGTGAAAGTTTTCATCAGAAAGACACCCAATGTCACCACAGAAAGACATTTGAAAGAGTTTTTGCTGGGAGCTATGAAATAAATTGGCTGAGTGTTGACTAAAAATAAATAAATAGAAATTTGAAAGCTTGTAGTTGATTGATAAAGAATTTCTTCTCTGGTCATGAAATCTATACGAGTTCCTTTTTATCTGCTACTGATTCCTGAAATACAAGCTCCTTTGTAGAAGACAAAAAGTCTTGGGACAGAGTATTAGAGAAACTGGCAGCTTTGCAGTAATAAAATCATGTACGTGGCTCACCAGGGTGTAGCTTCATGTATTGAATTCGGAGCTCAAGGGAGCACTTAACGTGCTGGAGCTTTGGGTCTGCACGTGACCCGCTAGCTGCTTCAGAGCAAGTGAGACAGGCCAAAGTCACCTAACTTTTAGAAAAAGCATCAGCTGCCTGGATCAGGCATGGTTGTAATCTTCAGACCCTTCTGCAAATTTGTGTTAAGCTTCCATGACTAAAACAATTACTATATTCAAGTACAATCTTCCTGTCACCTGGAAGAGCATTTAAAATATATTCCAGTGCTTGTGTAAATCTAAGCCAGACAATTTAGGTGGTGCAAGAGCCTTGGTTGCAGTTCCAGCATTTGCCTATCTGCATAAGTAAGTTAATGAATCTGTGCAGGCTGGTCCATAGAAGAACCTTATTCTCACAAGTGACCATCTCAAAAATCTTTGTCCAAGACAGAAAAGTTTCCTGAAGAATCAGAAAAGTGATTTTATAGCTAGAGGAAGGTGTAAATAGCATTTTGGACAGGGCTATGTCTTAGCAGGAATAAAATAATTGTATAAAAATTAGACACCTGGATCAAGTTTGGGAAAAGATAATTGGATTTAAATGAAGAATTTTGAAAGTCCTTTTTAGCATAGAAATTATTATTTTGGCTATTTCACTGCCAGAGAATACTGGAGACATATACGATAGTCCTAAATAAGATAATCCAAAGAGATTGTTATTGTGTTGGTGAGGAACTTTAGAGCCAAATTCTGTGATCTGTTCTACAGATGCATAAAATTCTATCAGATATAAATAAAACTTAGTATTAACTTGGTGATATTTTGATGTTAAATTATACTGGTATTGACATTACAGGTGTGGAGAGCAGTTTACGAGTAACCAGATGTAAACAAATCATTCAGGGACTTCCTGATCACAACTACGCTGTTCTGAAATATCTGATGTGCTTCCTCCATAAGGTGAGTATGGGCAACATTTCCCAAGTCGAGCCATTTCTTGCTGAACTCCATTCTTGTTAATTCAACAGTTTAAATCAACCCAGAAAATGAAATTGAAGAATTTAAGGAGAATAGTAAGCTGGTTGTGCAAAAATTGCTGTTGCAGAAGACTCTGGCAACAGGACTGTTCAGCTCCAGTAAAAGTCAGTGTCAAACAACAGTCTTGGCCAGACTTTCCCTGTAGGATTCCCTCGGTGCGATAAAAACTGCTGGGTGAATTCAGACCCAACTGCATCTGCACTGAAGTGCTTAAAAGTAGTGTCCCCTTTCACTCCCCACTCACCTATGTCTGCTTTGCTGATTTCATTTGGGGAGTTTTCCTGAAGACTAGAGAGCAGAGGTTGGTGAACCTTCAGTACTGGAAAACAACAGGGTGAGTTTCCCCTTTTCTTTCTTCAAAGTGTATATCTCAGGCTGCCAAAGTGCCAAGTTAATTTATGGCATTTTAGAGAATGAAAAAAATGTTAAGGAACTTTAGAATATTTCAAAATGATAAAACATATTAAATCTTAAAAATATATTTTTTCATTCAAAAAATAGCCTCTCATTTTGTAACTTAATACGGTGTTCACTGGAAAACTTTGACCATATCGTTTTGCAAATATTTTTGGTATGCTTCAGGGTAGATCAAATCCTGTGTCTTGTGCCAAAATTTTCTAATTGCTGATTATTTTTTAATCCATTTGGGAAATCACACAAGTTTGGAGCAGCGATATCCTTTTGTTGCCAGATTTTGTTTGGGTAGAAAAAGACCAGGATAGGAGTGTGAATTTCCCCTCCCTTCCGCTTTACCCAACACGTTACCTTTTCCAAGCTGCGTTTTTCTAATCCAGGTGCCTAAAGCTGAGACTTATGGTCTGTGTTTAGTTGGCACCTAAATAAAGTGATGTAGATAAAGGCATCCTATGAGGCCACTAAAGCAGTGACTTCTGTGGGATGAGGCTGATTTGCACCGGTGAAGCAAATAGCCCTCAGTAACACTTCTTGGGCTGACCACATTTGCCGCGGTCTAGCCAGTGGCCTATTTCAGAAATGAGTACATCTAATCCCTTTTTATATCAAAACGCTCCAGAAAAGCAAGATTAAAGGAAACACATTGATATGACCCTGACTCAGACAGCACTAGAAAGACTCCTGCAATACCCACATGTTCGTTTATCGTTACTTAGCTGAACTCTCATGCTATTAAGAAAATCCTGGTGTCATTTGCTATTATTTTAGCAGCTGATCTCTCTCCACAGTGTTATGAATCGTGTAAGTGACTCTGTTCCCATAATAGATGCATCGTTGCCATGCAATTTCTAAGAGCTGAGCACTTGAGGTGTTAATGAGGTGTGCAAAAGTGCTACATAGTGTTTCCTGTAATTGGGCAACAGAACAGAGCATTATTTTGGAGTATGCCTTATTATGTAAAGCACAGCGGCAAGCTGATCCTAATGCCCACATCTGCAATTTTTGCTGATCCATAGCTTTTCATCCTTAACGTCTCAGGGAATATTTGCACTTGGAGAGGTCAAGGGAACGTGAAACAATCTGGAAGCTGGAGATTTCTATTCACTGCAGATCGGGGCGCTGTGCAAGCTGCCACAATTCACACTTTAGCACAGCACTCTTCCAATAATCCTGGTTTTTACCTACAAGTATCAGCCTGCTTACCTTTAAGAGGCAATTTAAACCTTCCATGAGCTCAGCCCCGAGTAGAGCAAGAGATACTTGTGGTAATTTCATGAAGGGGGATGAACTGTAATCACTAGATACAGCTTTTGAAAACTAAGTTTGATCCAAGCTTGTAGGAACACACACACAAAAAAAACCTGTTTTCTCTGCAGTCACATCCCCCTTAATGAAACAGCTCCTTCTAATCCAAGAATGCTATACCAGGACCACATGAGCCCCACAGAAGAAAGAGCCATGAGTTTCTGAGTACAGGTCCGATCCTTGGGGTGGGCTGTGCAGACTCATGCCGGCCACAAGCCCAGCGCTGAGGGACCGGCTGGGGCGCACGGTCCCCTTCACACCTGCAGAGCCCCCTCCCCAGGTGAGGCCCACAGCCATGAGCAGACATTCAGGTTTAAGGGGAAGGCACAGGTTGGTTTTCCCCCTAAAGCACTGGCTTTAGTGGCATCTGGAGACACGAGTGTCTGTGTCCCGCCTGCACATTTGGTGCAGGGGGGTGAGAAGCCCATACGGGTTTACAGGGCTCAGAGAGGTTTTCCTGCAGATTGCCTGGCAGAACGTGCTGTGGACTGTGGTTTCACAATTCTGAAGCCAGAAACCAGATCATAGTTCTCATGGAAATTTTCTTTTGGCAATGTTTTGTGGGGATCCCTGGAGCATTGGAACCAAGAAGCCCAATGTACGTGTATACTGAAATGTGATGGTAAGTGGCTTGTAAACATACAAGCCTTACTTGAGGACTAAGAAGACAACCTCTAGACTTTCTTTCAATAGAAGCTGCTGTTATTTAATGGTTTTGCT